TACGCGCCCCGGAGTCCAAATCTATTTTCGATGCAAATGGACCTTGTATACAGCTTATACTGGCTTCCTCTTCTCGGGGTGGTGGTGATCATCGTTCTTCATTCTTCGAAACTTCGACATTCAAGCATTCAGGCAACCAGGCAATTTGGTTCCTTTCATAGTCAAAGACGTTGAACTTTTTGCTCGCTTTTTTTCTTCTTCTTCTCTTTTTCACAACACAACTTTGGCCACTCGAAACGGGTTGTAATGAATGAATTTGAATGAAGACCAAAAACTCATCCACATCCACGCTGCGCAGTAATTTTTTATTTTTGTTCCTCTCGCTCGGCTTGTTCTCCAAACAGAAATATAATTCATGTGCGCCCGTATTGGCATGAGCATCAACATCAACTTATACGTACGAGTACGAGGCATATTCGCAAAGAAGAACTCGAAAGCCCGCAGAAAACACACAAGTTGCGACGAGGAGGAAGAGAGAGCAGCCGACAGCAAGTCGTGTGCATCGTGTGCACACTATACACGGCCTGCTGAGTGATGAATAGGCGAGACGAGTGAATTGAATTGAATGTTGAATCATTCGAATGCTGCCTGCATTCATACAAAACCAGCAAAGATAAGATACGCAGGCGAGTATGGTGTACATATTCAAAGAAAACTTAAAACTTATTTTCAGCCATTTTACAAAAATCTAAAATTTTTAACAAAAAAAATGTATTTTGGGTTGCATAATAATTAATACGTAAAAATCTCCATTAAACCCGCACCGGAAAGCGTTTATTTACATTACTGCGTCGCCATGTCATCCATTCACAACACGCACTAGTTTCCTCTCTTCCCGCCTTTGTGCACACGCTGAATACGAACGCCTTTTCATCCGCTCATGTAACAAATATTACAATCGTCGATTCACACATAAGCGCACACGAAAAGTGATCATAAAGAGATGAAATGCAAAAAGATGCAAAGCGAAGCGAACACACAACTCAAATGAAAAGAAAAAAAGAAACAAGGACGTAAATGACATTCAAATGCTCGCACACATTCAGTTCAGTGAGCACACGTAGCCGTATGTTGGTCGCGTATGAATAAAAACACAAAAAAAATCGGAACACGGCAATTTTATCGAAGGACAATCTTGCGCTGAACCTGAACAATGCGCGTGTTGAGCCTTTTAAATTTCCAACGCCACTCGTCATGCGACATACGGGACCAGGGACCAACCCTTGGATTTAGATATTGGAATATTTCAACTTTCAACATCCCGAGCATTTTTTCGGTCTATTTTTTTTTGCTTCTCTCAAACCCGCAGTTGCTTCTTGTTTGCTGTCAGGTTAAAATCACGAGAGTTGGGGATAAGCCGCGCTCACGTTTCCCAAATGTCATTCAACCGAAAACCCAAAGACCATTCATTATCACTTAAACACACCGGGTGTTCACCTGAGCACATCTAGAAAACATCAAAATCTTCATCAAATGCGATTATTTTATTGAGGACACCTTGTATACCTGGTTGGGTATTTATGTCCGTAAACCAAAAGTGCTAAAACTGCTGGAGACACGAATGGCACGAATAAATATATTCAAAAAGAAGAGATTTTCTTATTTTCTCTTCCCCGTGTGTGTGTGTATGTGTGTTTTTGTGTCGTGCTTTCGGGTATAATCACATAATGTATAATGTTTCAGATTGCTGATTACGCCTCACATTTTACCTTCTATACAAGTGTGTGTCTGCGAGTGTAAACTGTGTGTATATCATCGGCTGGAAATCTGAAATCTAACAACACAATGGTCTACGGGACGCATCTCACATATAGCGCCCCGAACCGAAAAATAACAATAGCGCAGGGATATAATTTAGGAGCGCGCCGTAAAAAGGAGCAGAGCGCAAACGATGCGATAAGTGCACAACCGGGCAGCATATGGTGTTCGACGTTTTTGTTTCGTATAGTGTAGTGTTGTTTTTTTATTGTCACGATTCGCCTGCGAGTATGAAAATTTACATGAAAAATAAAACATTATGTAATGTCAATGTAGTTAGTCAATGTAGTGTTGTTTATGAACTCGGCGAATATCATTATTACTTCTTTGGCATGTGCGTGCATAACAAAGGTGCGAGACACGTCCGATTGCAGCTCTAGCAATAACTTCGTATCTTAGCGTAAACTTACGGTGACAATGCGACACACGTTCGAAATTAAATTATTGTGCATGCCACGGCGACAACGGTGGTAAATTTCAACTTTATGCAACTGTGTGTTACAAGTTACAATGTGACACATGGACATCTAACCTCACTTTATGGCTATAAACATAAAAACGTTTTATAAAAAAGTTTTTGTTGAAATTTTTTCGTTTTTTGAGCAAATTATTGATGATTTCAATTTTATAATAAACAAAATCACGTTAAACATTAAATATTTTATAAAATTTATTCTTTTATTTACATTTTAATATTGTGTCTGAAACGTCACGTCCGGTATCATAATATCAATTCGTATTCGGCGTATTTAAAAGTCATTTTCGGGTAAACCACTTAAGTCGGTAGAGGCTACTTAAGCGAAAGCTACGAAGAAATTTTAATGACACTTTACGCTAATGTCCGACCATAACTACTACTTTAACATCTGAAACTCAAACGTCTAAAGTTTAATGTCTTCCTGTTTTCGTTCTAAAATAAAAAAAACTAAAAGAAAAAAACTTTAAAAAACACATATTTAAAACATTAGTCAAATGTTATGTAAAATATACCTACCTACCTATTTGAAATTCGCGAATCTTGCACAACACATCGCATGTTGCTACTTACAATAAATTGTTGTGGATTGCAGACATTTTTTGCGTTATCAACAAACAAACAAATACAATAAATGACTAAATTATTATTCGTCGGGCGCGTGACGCACTTGGAGATTACATTTATTACACAAAAAAGCGTTTAAAGTCTGATTTAAGTATTTGAACTATTTAGGGATGCATGCAAACATTACGCAAACTTTGAAATCGTTTAAGTGCCAATATACAACACCGCCATAAGTAATTACACATTTAATCTGTTTTCAATCAAACAAGTCAACTGATGACTTACATCACATAATAAGTAATAAGTAATAAGTAATAACCCAGATGATATCGCCTCAAAGTGGTGATTTCCTCCAGTACGTTATGCTTTTTATTTATTTATTTTGTAGGTAATTTACAATAAACAATACCACCTACATGGCTACACTCGATCCAGGTACTTAAATTAAGTGCCATGTGAGCATTTAAGTAAATTCGAAATTTTCCAAGTTATTAAATCCAAAATAAATACTTAAAATGTTTGAATCAAATAATATATTTAAGTACAGCTAAACTCGACAGTAATAACTGAGATAATGAACACAATTTAAGCGTGAATTGTAAATAATTGCAGCGGTTGGAAATTAAATCGCTTTCTGGGAATTCTTTTTATAAATTATAATACATTGTAGTTGTAGGTAGGAAAGCACAAGTTTTATCCATGTGAATTGCACGTCGAGAAATAACGAAATAATGTTTCTGGAAACGCTTTCAAAAGATGAATGCGTTAATAAATCAATATATTTTTCACGTTCAAGGTGCGCCCAGCTAGAAAGAGACCCTCAAAATACTAAAAACAGGTCAAATTCGGATTTCGTAGCATGTCGAATCAGTTTCACCCCCTAAATTTCTCAAAACTCAATTTTTGCACATTTTAAATTTAATTTAATCAAATATTACGCCTGTCATGTTTAAAACACAAAAATAGTTTCCCTATTCATCATGCGCGGCTTCCTAGGCGCTCGCCTATTGCGCTGAATGCGAATTCATTAAAAATGTAAATTAAGCGGCGTCGCGGGGCGGACGGACAACAAGGCTTTTCCATTAATCACGCGCGCCCGCTCGCTTTTTGTCGTCGTCGTCGTCGTCGTCCGCAATCGAATCGCCTTTATTGCTTTTTAATAATAATAACGCGACGCGCCATCGCCGGAGCGGAGCAGCGCGCAATTAATGCACGCTCGCCGACCACGTAAATTACACCTCGGCCCCGCAGCGCCTCGAAAGTGTTTATTCATCGCTTTGATAAATACATAATCATCGAGACGCTTTTTTACACAAAAATATCAATATAATGGGAACACGGACATCGCATGGTCACAAGTCATAACAACTAACAACCAAAACAACTAATTGATTTTTTTTTGTTATTAAAACCGAAAAAAATTAAATTATTTTTATTTTAAGGGCAAAAAAGTGCAGATTTTAAAATTTAATTAACATGCAAATATTATTTATATTTAATCTCTAGACGATATTGGTTTTGCTTCGTAATCATCGATTAGTAATTAGCGACTGTAATGAAACGGATAATTAGCGGTTGCCGCACGATTGCGCAATGCGATTTCGCGGTACTCGGTACTGTTTATGCAATTTGTCGACGCTGCGGCCATTTTGCCATCGCGCAGCACGAAAAACACAAAACAAAACAAAACAACAACAAATTACGCCGTGTGCGCTTCCGATAATTATCCGTCAGCAGTCAGCGAGAACAACGAATATATCAAACAAACAAACGACCAACGTGAATTGTTGCTCTGAAATTGGAATCGGCATTGAATGCTAAATTGGAAAATTGTCTAATTCGCCGGATAGCCTCGCGCGCTACCAGGCAAAAGTAGATTCGATAGAAATAAATCTTGGAAATGGTTGGCGCGTTGGCATTGTGTGCGTTAAGTATGAAATTTAAGGCGATTATAATCCGAGTCCTAGTTCCAAGCGCGTTTCCAGTTCAATTAGGTTGTTTTGTTGCGTCGCTTCGCTTTTGTTTGTTTGTCGAGCGCGCGCGCGGAGCCGCTTTTGTCCTCGTGCGTGAGCGCCTGCGAGTGTGTGTGCGAGCGCGCGGAATGCCGGCCCGTAATAGTTCAAGGAAACAATAATAGTATCCGCGCGCGTCATCCGGACTCGGATGCGTAATGGCAAACTTTACGAGACAGTCAGCGCGGCAGTCAGTCATCGGTCGGCTGGTGCCGGCCGTCGGTAGTCACCGTTCAGACGCTCTCGCAGACGGTCAGGCCATTACGTGGAAGCAGCGCCGAACGCACCCCCACCAGTCTACCGCGCCCGGCGTAGATACACGAACACCGCACGAGCGCCGTCCCCCTCTCTTCAGGGTCTCACACGACGGCCGAGTTTGCCGAGGGTCAGTCCAGTCGAGGACCGACATTCGGTCGAGTCGTATCCGTGCTGTTGTATCTGATAGGATTTTTTAAAAAGACTTTCAAATAAACATAAAAAGATTCAACGCGTTCGTGCCCCGGCAGTGTGTTGAAGCAGTGTTCAAGTGATATATACCAAGGATTATATAAAACATGGCGACGTGTTACACATCGTACGACCTCTCGGCACACACACCCCTGGCGACGCCGGCCAGCATCGGGTCCATCGGGACCTGCGGGCGATCACAGGCCAGCAGCGGAGGTGCTGTCCAAAGCCAACAGAAAGACTACTCACGACCACTGCATGTCGACTGCAGCGTGGAGTACGAGCTGCCGAATCAAGCCAAACCACCCGCAGGAGTACGGAATGAACCGCTGCTGATGATCCATCCGTGCTACTTCCGGAAGATCGAAAGCCAACGGCGCAGTCCCTTCGTCAACAACCTCCCGACGCGGACATCCCAACACACACAACACACCCAACCGCATCAGCCACACCAAACGACGGCCGCCGCACCGACGTCCATCTCCACATCGGCGACAACCGCCTCCAAGCGGCGCGCCGCTCGCGGCCAACAACTACCCCAGCAGGTGCCACAGCAAGCAGCGCAATACCCTGTCCAGTATGCGCAGCATCAGCTGTGGGATCCAATGCCGCATCTGGTGCCGAACATCGCCGCCACCTCAACACCGGTGGGTGCCTATTGCGCCAACACCAACAACATGGTCACCACCGGACACTCGCATTCCAAGCGGCAGGCCGATACGAATGCCATGCTCGCCAACATCAACGTCAACCTCAATGTGCTGGGAGCGAATTGCGGCTCCTATGCGAACACCTCCGATGTGCTGGCGCATTGCTGGACGGAGCCGGATCGTTCACCCGACCGCCCCGAACATCTGACCGCCGGTAACGCTGGTAGTGGCGGCGGCGGCGGCGGCGGTAAACATATTCTCACCGGCAAGTACAGACAGTACCTGCGGGCGCATCGACTGCATCCGTACGTCGCGTCGGCCATCCCGCTCGCCTCCACCTTCCCGCAGCTCCACCAGCAGGTGTGCTACAATGTGTGATCGTTAATCTGGATGTGATAGAAATCCTGCGGGAGACTTGTACATACGATTTCATATAGTACTATCGCATGTGAGATCTGGTTAAACAGAAGAAGAAAAAAGTATAAAAATAACTAGGGGGTATCTGATAGAGACCGACTGTAAATTATGAATATTTGTGATAATAGTGTGTATAAAATGTGATTACGCGTTGTGGGGATGGGTGCGCGCGCGTGCGCGCCGCCTCCCGGGCGTGGTGGTAGTGATCAGAGGAGAGAGAGCTGCGCGCCGCATCCCTCTTCTCTCGTCGACGCTGTCTGCGCGCGCCGCCCGCCGCCCAGCTGTGTGTGGTGTGACCGAACCGTCGCCAGAGGATTATGTATAGCTGCTTTTTTTTTCCTGTTATTCCTGTTACGACCGAAAAACACGACGCCATTTTATGGATTATCATCAGTTTTCAACACAACAAACCAAGATATAATACCGGAGACTACTTCAGAGCGCAGCAGCCAAAACAAGCAGGATGCTGGAATAATGCATCACTAGCCCCCTCACTTGGATTGTTTTTTCATTTTTTGGATTACATATTATACGTTTGTGTGCGACCGATGAGAGATAGAAAAGAAGACGACATATTCGACGAAGCTTTAATAATACCCAAGTGCTGATAACGATGCGAATTTCCTGCGCTCGCCGTGTGTGCGACCGAGCACCCCGTTCATGTCGCGATATCGCCAAAAATTTCAAAACTATTAAGATATACACTCACGAAACAAGAAATAATTATTATAATGCAGATACACGTGTAGCTAGAGCAGCAGATTATTTAGATGATTGTGTACTGAGTAGGTTTACGAGATATGCAAACAAATCCCGCATTGTCTTTCGAAAGAATTAACCTCAAAATGGATCCGTCAAAACGGTGTAGTACCAACATAACCAAAAAAACTATGTTTGAATATCATTTGTTATTTTGAATTATTGGCAAAGCAAAGAAATAAGTAACAATTCGTACTGAATCTGGATGAATAAAAGCGCATAATTCCACCACGAAGTTTATAGTTTTCATTCGAAACATTTATTACTAACATACAACACACATGACTCATCAAAATTATACGTAGACCTGTTTTTTTAGTTTTCGCGTTAGGTTTTATTGATAATTCAAAAACTCAACAGGATACAAAGTTAATTTTAACAGAAAATGATTCTGTATTAAATTCTACATCTAATCATCAAACATTTATCAAATTACTTTGAAATTAATAAGAATTACACACAATTTTGTCAATATTTCTGTCAAAAATGATTTTTACTTGAAAAGTTTTTGTTTAAAATATAAAATTGTTTTGTGCGCATGATTAGATGTGGAATTGAATGCAAAATGTAAAAAAATTCAAATTGTAACTCGTTGCGTTCTTGAATAATCAATTGCCAGTAGTGAAATTTGGTTTATATGTGTTTCAGACCGTTTGACAACACTTATATGACCGTTTATTGCGATTGTGTTTTTGCGTTGTTTTCCTTTTGCATTTAGAACGTCAGGCGTCGATGTCGTTAGAGCCGGGGCCCGATCGAGAAAGAAGTAATTACGAGCCGAGCGCCACCCACACGCGCGACACAGCACACACAACGGGTAATTTATTATTCAAAGTGGGTGTACGAGTACCGAGCACACCACGCTGTACGCAGCCGGCGAGTCGGGGCCGACGTGAATTAACGAGCGTGTCTTCGGCGATTCGTTTTCGTGTATTTCACGACGACCGTTTTTTCCGACTTTTTTCACGTTTCGACGTTTTCAATGGAGATTTGATTACAAGTTATGCGTTTCCACTCCAAGCGTGCGTCGGAATTAAGTGGATTCATTAAAATATGACGTGACTGAGGCGTTTTTCTGAATTAAACTCAAATAATAACTACTTACTGCGAAAATAAAATTTCTGCATGCTCACCGTTAGCATTTTTAAAACTTATTTTGAGGTTAGAGTTGTAGTGGTGGCGCGTTGCATTTAACACCGCGTTAGTCAAATTACACGAACATCAACGATGACACACGAAGTAAAAGGAAACAAAAACTGACAGCACATACAAAAAATTTGAAGTGAAATTCATGTTTAGGACAATAAAACACTTGATATTCTCATATTTTGTAGCTGAAACGCGTTGAATTCATAAATTCGTTTGTGTTTACGATGTTTTCGCACCGCACAGCGCTTTGACGGATTCTCGCGAACGCTTTAATTAGCCTTTTCAGCCTTGTATCATTAACCGTTTAATCACGACGATGCCATACGTTTATACAATAATAAATGAATCTCTGCCGCCTGCGAGAAATAAATATTAATCGAACAACCAACAACAACATCAAATGAGACGAGAGCGAGCAGCGAGTTGAGCGAAACAAATGAATCAATGCCGTAACTGTAATCTCCCTATAGGATTATAACGAAGCAACAATAACTCAGAAAGATGTAAAGAAGTGAAAGAATGCTGAATGCAACTTCAAAGCGAACACACACTAATAAGCTAAGAAATCAATCTTCCATAGAGATATGTACTAACTTGTATATGTTCGAATAATGACTGTAATAATTAATAATAATGTGCGCTAATGTGAATATTGTACACACAAAACACATACACTACACACACACGAAGAAAACAAAACATGTGCGAAATTTGTCGATAAGGAAATCAGTTCAGAAATGTGCGCAAAGTGGAAACGGAAGGCGAATTTAGATTAAATTTGAGCATACGGGTCGTATTATTAATACTAATGCACGTTTTAAGTTTGATTCGAAATCGAAATTATTTAGGAATAAGTTACGGCTACAAAGTGAACGGAAACTGACTTCCTTTTAAGGTTAAACACACAAAAAACATTAAAAAAGTAGCTACAAATAGCTAGACCAAAGAGCAGTAAGTTTAATTTATCTGCGTAATGCAAGAAAATAACAAAACACAGTGTGTAAATATTGTACATTTCCATTTTCTATTCTATTTCTACTTCTATTAACGCAACGCAGGCAACCAACATTACACACATTTGACACATGCGTTCGATTAGAGTTTGATTTTCGCGATCGCGACCGAAACACACCGATTTGATGAATGCGTACTATTGAGTGTCTAGATGAGAAAGTAGGGTTATGTGAGGAGAGGCATGTGTAAACACTGACCGAGATGATGAAAAACAAAACCACAAAAAAATTCTATATTAAAACAAACTATATATTGAACATATATATAATGTACAGCTAGTCATAGTATGAATACGCTTATTATATGAATTAATTACGGATCTACATCATGTATTATATTGATCAAGACGATGATGCAGATTTCGACGATGACGATGATGATGATGATGATGGTGGAGCAACTGATAAAACTGAAAAACTGAACTTGAAAATTGAAAAAAATAAAAACGTGTTACTGTTTTTTCTATATATCAAACGTGTTTTATTTACATTACTAGTTTTTAACATTTTCAGAATTTAACCTCAAAAATTCACTTTTTCCGCTTCGCGTTTGTGGCGCGAAACAAATTGTTTTTTAATTAAACAGTGACGCAACGGACGACGTCGCGACTCGAGTGTGACTGTGAGTGTGGAATTATTTTAATGACGAAATTGTTGTACTTGTGAGATTGTGATTGAAGTGATTAAAGTGCGATTACCGGAGTTAAACGGTTTCGTTTTCGTGTTTGTGAGAATAGCAAAGAGTCAAGAGTCAAAATTTAATTTTTTTTTCGGTTCTTTGTTTTGTTTGCTATTATGATAATGGCAGGCAATCACAGTGAAAGTCGTATGCAAATTGGCGTGACATTACCGAATGCCAATATAAATAATTACGAGTGACAACGTAAATCATTATTGCCGAACGTTTCACAAACTTTGATGAGCTGTAACTACCGTTATTGCCGGTTGATTGTTATTGAGTAAAAGGTAAATCATTTTTGAATTATTTCATTTTAATTTAGAATAATGTTTATGGAAATATTTTATTGTAGTTTATTAATTTCGAAGTGTATTGTGTTTATTTTTGTTACGAAAATTGTTTTTAGTTTAAAAGTGAATAATAATTTATTCCGATGTGTAAATTTTATGAAACTTTGATGAAATATTAGTCAATTAATCAAGTTTTGATTGGTTTTTAATTGGTTTTTGAAACATAGTTACTTTCGCTGCAAATTTAATTGATTTTTTTTTTCGTTTTTAGAACATTTTTCGTTTTTAAAATTTAAAACGTTGTAATTTATTGTGGAATCGTTGAATAACTATCAAATTTTGTAACAGTATTCTTTGATTATTTAACTTTTAATTTGTAAAAAGAAAAATCGAATTTTTTGATTACATTTTGAGTAATTTAGGTTCAAAGTAATTACGTCAATAATTTTTCCCAAAACCCACTACAACTTTAATTGACGATAAAAGTTTACTCAATGATTCAAATACAATCAAATTTGGTATAAATAATATATAATTAACTATCTTTTGATTGACGTCAAATTGGTTTTTGTATCTTATTAACTTTGTCCGCAAATTGACGTCAAAGTTATAAAAAAAATATTTCAAAAAATCAAAATGTTGGTAATTACTTATTAGTTAGAAAGCTTTATAATTAATATATTTACCAAACCACAGCAACCAAAATTAAACAAAAGGAACTTTTGTTATCCATCTTTGGATTGGTGCAAGATTCGTCTCATTGTTTTGATTATTTCCTTCGCAGTTTGAATTTAAACTTCACGAAAATTACAGGAACCTGTGTTTCTACTTCTTCATTACTCTTAATAGGAATTTTGTTATTTTTGCTCGTTTTTCTGTGTTTTACAAAACTGCAGCGTCTAAAATAAAAATAATTGAACCTATATTATCAATTTTTCGATTGGTGCAAGATTTATCTCTTTGTCTTAATTATTTCCTTCACAATTTGAATTTAAACTTCACGAAAATTACAGGAACCTGTATTTTTGTATTTTTATTTCTTCATTACTTTTATTAGTTATTCCTCTTGTTTTCGCTCGTTTTTTCCGTGTATTTACTTTGTTTTTTATTTTGTAAAGTCCGTAATGGCGTAATATCGTAGTCACTTAACTCTGGCTGGCTCTGGCGACTTCATCCAGCATCGGTTTCGTTCGCCTTCGCGTTCTCGTGCATTAATCATGCTTATCGGTCGACTTCGTGCTCTGCGTACGTTTTCTTCTTTCTCTCTTTACCTCCCTGCTACTTTGTGTTTACATTCGCGCACGAAATTCGTTCCTCTTCTAACACTACTCCAGCTTGGATATTTCGTGCCTTGTTTGACGACGCGTTCGTTTTCAGTCGTCCTTTGTCTTTCGCCTCGCCATGCGTTCATTTATCAACGTCCAATCTGGTCGTTTCTCAAAAATTAATTAATCGCTACCGTTTCCGAATACTGTGCCACAACCGCAGCTCAAATCGTACAAAGGTATGTAATAATTTAATTAACCGCACACAATGTCGTCGTACGTTCGCACATTTGCGTTCGGTCATTGTTTCCGACCGAAATCCGCTTGTGTTTTGTTTCATCATTTATGGCGTGTTGGCTGTACTCGGTAACTACCTACACAGGCCATCGTTAAGTGAAACATTTTGTGGAAACGTTTGAGTATTGCTCTAGTTTCAACTAAATTCAGTGGTATTTATTATTTTTGAGCATAAATTCATATTATTATTGTTTTTATTTTAAAAGTCTAATAACTATAGATATAATTATTGGATGACTAGGAAAATTTGTTCATTTATTGTTTAATTATTCAACTTTTATCTGGTAAAAACAAAACTTGTTTTTGTTGTTTATTTTTGGCATAAATTAATTATTTGTAACACGTATTCAGTAATTTTTATTAAAATTTATGAGAATAATTTCATTTTATTTTAAAAGTATAATAACTGTTGATATGAATGTTGGATGATTATCAAAACTTGGTAATTTATTGTTTAATTGTTCAACTTTTATCTGGTGAAAACAGAAATGGTTTATCTTGTATACTTTTCTTTTAAACTAATTGTTTATAAGCTCGAATTCTGAGATTTTCGTTTTTTAGAAAATTATTTCATATTATTTTAAAAGTGTAATAACTATTGATATAAACAATGGACATTTATTAAAACTTGGTAATTTATTTTTAATTATTCAACTTTTATCTGCCACAAACAAAAATTGTTTATCTTATTTACTTTTTGCATAAATTAATTTTTTGTAAAGTCGTGTCGAGTGATATTCATTTTTTCGAGAATAATTTCATATTATTTTAAAAGTGTAATAACAATTGATAAAAAGATTGGAAAATTATCAAAACTTGGTAATTTACTCTTTAATTATTCAACTTTTATCTGCCATAAACAAAAATTGTCTATCTTGTTTACTTTTTACATAAATTAATTTTTTGTAAAGTCATATCGTGTGATATTAATTTTTTCGAGAATAATTCCACATTTTTTAAAAGTGTAATAACTATTGTTATAAATATTGAACAGCTATCAAAACTTGGTAATTTATTCTTTAATTATTCAACTTTTATCTGCCGCAAACAAAAATTGTTTATCTTGTTTACTTTGCGTATAAATTAATTTTTTACAAACTCATAACATAATTTTAGTCATAATAACATCATACATTAAACCGTCAATAAACTTTGAGTCATTTATTCAACTTTGATGAAATATGATGAAAAACATCTTTAATTATCCACGTTTTTATTACTTTTTAATTTGTTATTGTATCTTGTTCGGTTTTCACACAAACTTGTTTTTAAACCAACAAAAACGACTTTTGGGCATAAATTATTTCAAAATGAAAATTCAGAAGATAAATCTTTAAATACCGAAATATAAGTCGAGATAAACAAAAATATTCTATTTATAACTGAATGGCGTTAATTACAAATTCCGTTTTGCGTTTTGTTTTATCATTTTTATCGCATTCCGCTTGTTTTCGGCGCGAGCGCGTGCTGTTATTACGTTGAGTAAGGTTTAATAAGCGATAAATTTCGCGGAGAACGTCGCGAACGTCGTTCGTTCGCATTGCAAAACATAATTAAGCGTTAAAGCGGTAAAAAAACCACGCCGGAATAAACAACACAACCACGCAACCAACGTTCAAGTATGGCTCACTTATAATTCGGTTTTTTAACGTCATGCGACATATTTTAAACATGACAATGACGCACATGCTGAATTACAACCAAACTCATCAGAAGACACGTTGTTTACGTGTTGCTATGACCACCCGCGGTTGTATAAAAGTCGATTTTATTTGTCAATCAATAATAAATCAACAAACCGATGTACTGCGCTCGCCTAATGCGCGCGTAAATATTGACGATTGACAAACGCGTTTGGAGTTCTGCTCCGAAATTATTATTAATGTTTAATTGCGGCGATTAGAAAGCTGCGTATTTGCTTTCGCCGCAAACAAATGTGATTTTTATCGAGCTGGAGCGCGTTTTATCAATGAAGGCGACGTTTTTACGAGCGCGCCGACGACGCTCTCCCGAAATCGGGGCGCCGCCGTCGTGATAAACGCCAGACGCGCGGACATGTCACACATAGATAACAAACATGGCAGCCGCGCGCACAACGTGACCCGGTTATATTTATACTGGCGTTAACTAATCGCCATTTTTCTCGAGTGTAACTCAACAAACAAAACAACGTTTTGAAATTCCCACTCAGTTTTATTATTTTTTTTGTAAATTAAAATTCAAAACGTTGTAATTTACGCTAGAAGCGTTATATAAGCATAGAACTTTGTAGAATGATTCCTTGATTATCTAATTTTTAATTGGTAAAAACAAAAATTGTCTAGTTTAATTATACTTTGAGTAATTTAGCTCCAAAGGTAATTATGTCAATATTTTTTTCTGAAAAACCACTGCAACTTTAATTGACGATAAAAATTTGATCAATGAATCAAATACAATGAAATTTTACATAAATAATATATAATTAACTATCTTTTGATTGACGTCAAATTGGTTATTGTATCTTGTTAACTTTGTTCGCAAATTGACGTCAAAATTTAAAAAGCTTTTTTTTCAAAAAATATCAAAATGTTGGTAATTACTTATTAGTTAGAAAGCTCCGTAATTAATGTTTTTAGAAAACTGGAGCGACCAAAATTTGACAAGAGGAGCTCTTTTTATCTATCTTTCGATTAGTGCAAGACTCATTTCATTATCTTAATTATTTTCTTCGCAATTTGAGTTTAAACTTCACGAAATTACAGAAATCTGTGTTTTAACTTCTTCATTACTTTTATTATTATTTTTTTTTGTTTTTGTTCAGTTTTTCTTTGTTTTTATTAAACTACAGAGACCAAAATTTGACAAAAGGAACTTTTATTGTCCATCTTTTGATTAGTGCAAGGTTTATTCCATTATCTTAATTATATCCTTCACAATTCAAATTTAAACTTCACGAAAATTA